TTCGATGTCCTGTTCTCCTGTCGAGTTTGTTCTCACTCATGGTCCTAGTAATGATGCTGCACGACTAAAGAACGGAGAGGGAGAGAGGGGGGGAGAGAGGAAGAGAGAAAGAGGGAGAGAGGGAAAGAAAAGGAGAGAGAGGGTGAGAGTGGGAGAGCGAGGAAAGGGGAGCCTCATCAGAATCTCCATCGTTCTCTTCTTCTCCCTCGTATCCCTGATAGCGATCTTGGCAGATTCTCTCTTCTCCGTCCTATCCCCGATCGCGATCTTGGAAGATTCTCTGATATTGTCTACACATCTTTCATACCCCTCATAGAATCATAGTGGCTCAACGCACCACACTCACCAAATGCACAAAAGACAAAATTTATGGCGGTGTATATTTCCGTGTTCTATCGGAAGATTCATTCTCATTTTGCACATTTGGTGAATGGTGCGGCGAAGCCCGTAGTTACTCTCTCCACCTCCCCCTTCTTTTCTCTTTTCTTGTTTCTTTAACAATATACCCTTCACCTTGTAAAGCGCGCCGCGTTAGAATCTTCATCGATCTATCTCTGTCTTCTCCTCGTTCATTCCCCTGATCGCGATCCTACGGTCCCAACTTGCAAATCATCTGCTGTTCTCTACACCCCTCCAGCACACCTGTCGCGATCTCCATCCCTACGCCATATCCATCCCGATCTCCATCCCTACGCCATATCCATCCCGATCTCCATCCATTGTTATCCCGATCTTCCACATATGAGAGACAGACAGACAGAGAACGACAGAGAAACCGACAGCGAGGAAGAACTAGACAGAGACGATTGCCCTGTTCATACGATCAGCAAACGTTGTAGAACATTATGGAGAGCGCGCACAAAACAGAAACAGAGAGAGAGAAAATGAGAGAAAATGAGAAAAAGAGAGAAAGAGAGAGAGAGAGAAACAAGAGGTAACATTATACAGAGACGATCGCCCTGTTCATACGATCAACATCATCGAAGAGCGCGCACAAAAGTGAGAGAGAGAGAGAGACAAAAAAAAAAAGAGAGAGAAGAAGAGAGAAAAAGAGAGAAAAAGAGAGAGAAAGACCGAGGAAAAACTAGACAGAGACGATCGCCCTGTTCATACGATCAGCAAAAGTTGTAGACCGTTCTCGAATTCTACAAGGGGGAGAGAGAGAGAGAGAGAGAGAGAGAGAGAGAGAGAGAGAGAGAGAGAGAGAGAGAGAGAGAGAGAGAGAGGACCGCCAGGGGGCCGTTATTGGGGGGGCATTAAACGTATTATGGCACGCAGTATGCGTACGTACCTTTGTCTGCCATGTCGGAACATAGAGAAGCTCACCAAGCAGGAAGAGCGATGACGATCGTAACGAGCGACCGACTGCAAACGC